ATTATGAAGAGATTTTCTCCTATGACTCTTACTGTAATAATTGGTCAAAACAATACGATTATTACTAATACAACACATCCATTTTTATGAATTCCCTGAACTTTCCGCTATGCGTTTATTACTTTTACCATTGAGTATTATATATAGTTATCAACATTATCAACATTAAGTGAACCAATATAATTATGTAGTATATATAAGTAATGTAAAATATTATATTATATATATATATTATATTATTATATAAAATATTACAACAAATATATGTAGTATATATAAGTAATGTAAAAGTAAAACCAAAATATAACAAACAATAAAAAGATGTGAATTATAACAATTATTTGATTAACAAGTAAAATACTGTTACTCTCCTGCGCATCGGTCGAACCTTCCACGACCGTTCACTGGTAAAGGAGCCTATATAAAGCATAACTACAGTCATATTATATTCGTATATCAGCATATTAATCTAGATATGTTTTATAAACTCGAAATACGAAGTACATCAAATGTACATCGTACGTACGTGAAAAGAGACTTTTAGAATTCTACTACATATCTTGAACGGCTTTTAAAAAGCGTTTAACAAGAAAAATAACAGAGTAAAACCAATGTTGAAACAAATATCAACAACTATACAACAGTAAAACTGTTGAACTGTAGAAAAAAAAATCTGAAAATATTCCCTCACATTGCATAAAACATCTGAATAATGGCCCAAAAACATCAAACATTTTTCTCGTCTACTTTACCCAAAGCAAGGCTCGTTTCATGCATTACACATTTGATATGATTACCTCATGAAGTGGAACAATTCGGCAGAGATGTAATTGACGCCAATTAATCGTCTAATTATCGATGGTATAAGTAAAGTAGCAAACGCCAGTAACATCTGGTTAATTTCGCCAATGATTCTTATACAATCTCGTATTGTGCTCCTCAGACTGGAATAATTATTTATATGATGCTTAATCAGAGTTAATAGTTTCAAAATATAATCATACGAATTCTTGAAATTGTTCTCTTACAAAAAAAGGAATTATCTTTCAAAAAATCTTGAAATTCTATGAATTCTGACGGGAAAAAATTATTTCTTAATATTATAAACAACAACAAAAACGGTCCGTAAATTTATTGCAGGTCCAAGTTCACGAACGACTTTCTTAAACATGAGAAAGCGAAAAGCAACACGCATGTGTCAATAGCAAAAAGAGACAATTCTGTTGAAATCAACATTTTTTTTCATTGCCTTTGTAATTGTTATATAACATACAGAAGAACTTGAACTTCCTGTTTATTTACCCTAAACATCTGTTTTGAGTTCATTAAGATGTAAGTAATCAGACCTTCCAATCACGTGACACATGAAAGTGTAAATGTGAGAAAATCATTATTTATTCCTCGAAATGCCGAAATTTAGTTCTATTCCAATTGTTTATAATAAATAACCGCCACCTTTTCTGTCTGAAATACCTAAAAAAATATATAAGAAAACTGGAATAAAATATAACGGTTTGAACAGTATGGGGCGTTCTTTAATGTCTTTTTTATTTCCTATAATTGCAACAAAAACCATTCATCGTCTTCAATGTTTATAATTGACGTCGTATCTAGGAGTTACCTATCAAGGAACAAATATCAAGTACTGGTATTAATTCAGCGTTTACATAAACAATTAATTTGTAATGGCTCTGAAACAGTCTACATAAGAAAAATCCAAAACATTCCCGAATGTTCAGTTTTAAGCTTCGCAACATACGATAAAGTCATTTAAATACTATATATGCTGCGTTCTAGTCAATTCAATAGCTTTATTTTTTTAAAAAATAAAGTCAATCTTTTTATCTTTGAAAAGAAAAATGAAAATATGCTTGTATTAACATTGCACAAAACTGTTGTTTTAGATGAGAATCTATATCTTTGAAAACGAACGTTAATTGAAAGACTGCAGAATGAGCATTGCAAATAATACATTTTGTACAGAGTGAAATAACATATTCTTAATTATTTCCTTATATAAAAATTTTATTCTAAGTTTCACTTCGTTGTTGATTTAAAAACATACCATGCGTTAATCCTTAGAATAATTTTTATATCCACTTTTGCCTTAATGTGATAACAAAACACAAACAATATTAATAATTTCATTATACTTATTGTTGTATTCTAATCATTCATGACGTAACAGGCAGAAGATGAAAATGTTCTCTTAAGAATTTTTATTCAAAAGATTACAAACGCAAACTTTTTTGTTGATTTATAACTTTTTTAAATAAATGTTTTCAAAAATTAAATGATTATTACTGAGTAAGCAAATATGTTAAGCATAATTATGTATATATCCATAAGGAAGGACAGGAAATAAATTGGTGGTAGCATTTGACGTTATATCTGTGGTGATGCCTTAGTTTAATGGTCTCATCCAACAATAAATGACAAAACAAACAAAAAAAACATCAAAGGAATCTGATCATAGACTATTATACATGTATATTTAACACAGGTTTTGGCATAAAATGAGCATATTACAATATAATTGTATTATAATTGCATTTTGTCGTACAATAAATCTGCATATTTCTTGAAGATTCAAACCTTGAATCAGTTAATGAAATTTCTTTGATTACTTTGGATACAATATACTTTCTTAGAAACTATATGTATTTATAACATTGAAATGTTATAAAGTTAGATGTATAATTTCTAAAATCTATTGTTATTATACACATGTATTTAACAAATGTAGGCATACACAAATATATGTTAATAATTCACATACACTTGTAAAGCAGTTCAGCCATTTTTACATAATTATATATTATCGCGTCATAAATTTGAAAATAAGAATTGATATAAATTGATATATTTGAAACAAAATGATAACTGACTTATAGGTAATAAATATTCAACAATAGAACCAATACTACTGAAATACAGTATTTATATGTTATTATTGCTTTCGTATATTTCAGTATTATGTCATTTTACAAAGATATATGTAACATTATCATACATTGGAGGCTTTAAATAAAATACTATTTGAGTATAATAGGCACATTTTAAATGTTATTTATTATTCTTTTAGAATATATTAATGCTGGTACATTTATAGAATGCACTATGTAACCTTGAGGCAAAATATTGCATTGAAACATACATATGTGGTCAATTACCAAATATTTCTTGTAAGCTGGACTCGCTCTATCAATACAAAAATCAAGAGATTGTTATATCGATAGTACGTAATAATCGCGATACTTATTAAGAACTTAATGTAAAACGTCCGTTATTACCGTCCAGCGGGCACGTGGGGTTTGAATCTGCCGCCATTCGCAACAGGGGTGCTGATCTTCAGCTAATTAGCTACACGAGTCTTATATGTTAGCCTGTTGAGCTAATCTAAGTGCAACATCTTACAATAAGTGAGTATTTGCGTAAAAATCGGATACCCCGCACAGGTATATACTTTCAACGAAAATACCTGAGTATTCCGAGTGTCTACGGAAAGGTATATTGGGATAGCGCACTGGTATATAAAGTCACTAGCCAAATTTTGTATCTTGCGTACGTTATCTGGGTATTATCGGACATAGAGTGAGGACTTGGATATACTATGAGCAAGGTATGTGACATATACTTACACGAAAATAATATTCATTAATATTTTCATGTTCACAACTGCTTAAAATAACCATTAAGATAGAATTAATGCTTTATAATGACTGAAAATTTAGAAATCAAACCAAATATTTTAGAACCGAGTATAATACATATGTATATATTCATTTAAGTTAATGGTATGGTTAAGTCTATAGGCAGATATGATAAAAATGTTTTGTAACTCTCATATTTAAAGTGCATGAAATCATTGGTTTTTATACTTGCATCTTATAATAATATGTATAAAAATTAGGTTTTAGATAAACGTAGAATAAAAACAAATGTAGAGCATTTATACCAAATATTAGAAACATTCATTGAAGGTTGAATTCAGGACGAACGTTATGTTAATTCAAAGTAAGTTTTGCTTTATTTCGACACTAAGTTTGACAATGTAGCACAATTGAGGCAAAAACAGATAAAATAAATAACCATGCGAAAACTAAAAGTGATTTTTCTGTACAAAGATTTATCATATTTTAGCTACAGTAACTATACTATATGATTTATGTATATTTTAGAAACATATTACTTTATTATATATTGTTCAATTGCACGATTGAGATACTATGTTAGAAAAGAATTGCAACGATCATATCAAAATTGCTGACTAAACATATTTTTTCTGCAATTTTTACCTTGGCAATGTTTTATGTATATTTATATGCATGCATTCTTTACTTGTGAAGTAAAATGTGTTTCAAGCAAAAGGAATATAGGAAACGAAAAGCATTTCAAGAAATATTGGGATAAATGTTCTAAACAAAGCAATATGCTATGTTTGCAAAATATTTCTGTTTGGGCAAAGGCTCAATTCTATGAATATTGTTGACACTTCAAAAAATAAGCATTCGTATTTCTCCCAGGTACAAATCACAGTAATTTTCTGTGAAAATCAAATAACGCATGAAAAGTGCAATCTTAGTAACATTGCATATGAAACAATTTCGAGTCACGTGCTTTGATGGGTTTATTTTATATGCGTTTTATACTATTTTGTGTGTAGTATATTTTTTTACAGATTCACATTAGCATACTTTTCTTGTTCATGTATACACGCGTAGACCAGTTACGACACGTTTTTACTATCTTATGTTTTTACCTACGGAAATAGAGCTCAGCCTACGTTGCCTAGCAACTGATACAACAGCGCCGCATAGTTTGATGACGGCATTGTCTATATATGGTTGAAGCATTCTGGGTAGAAACACGATCATAGATATACGTATGGAACCATCGTAGACAATTCCCCCATTGGGTACCCCCTCTCATATCTTACCTTTCCCCTTAATGAATCTTTATGTGTACATTCCCGAAAACATCTACACGATCTCCTTTGCTGAATTTATCGTCTGCTGCAACTTTGAACATTTCCGATTCCAAAAAAGTGTTGGCAGAGTTTCAACAGCATAGAGGGAGACCATAGACAACATTGTGAATATTAATTAGATAAAAACATAATTTTAAATTGAAACAATTAAGTGGGACCAAATAGTTTAAAGTGATGGACAAATCTTTTGGATCAAAGGTAAGTGTTCTATTATTACATAGACGTGAGTGTTTTAATGTTATCTTTGCTGTTAATTAGTTTTAAAACTCTAACGATTTTTTCCCACTTTGCTTACATTATGAAGTCAATGATCCATAGGTACATGTAAATGTTTATGTGGTATCTTTATTTAGGTACAAGCGTGTTGATGTAACTTAACATAAAACACTTGCATATATTATCTCTTGTTAGTTTCCCCTCGGGTGACCCCTACCTTAACTTTGATTGATATTGCTTTAAATTATTTAACTTAGAATAGGCACATATTAATAGGTAACGGCAACTTAACTTAACTTAATAAAACTTTAAAATTCAATTTTAAATTTAAGAATTAAATATTTTAAACTAACTCTAAGTTAGAATCTTTTAATTCGGAAACGTGTTAACGACAATATGATATTAAATAAACAAAAGTGAACTTAAAAACAATATTGTCCATGAATTAAGAGCATACATAGTTCGCGTGAAACAGCTGATAAGCAGTTGGCTGATGATAACTTGTAGATAAGCAACATATGATCTGCTAGTAGTGAGTCACTGGATAGTTAACATTCCGGCTGATAGGAAGATCTTAGTCAGTTATTGTGTATCAAGATTCTTTAACACTTAGAGTGCAATTAAACATTAATTATTCGGAAATAACTTACATTCTTTGAAAACTTTTATAAGCAGACATAATATATATAATAGCAGTATTCCGCGGACTTGCATTCACCTTGCGCATAGGTATCGGATATCAGATTGTTACTTTAGTGCGCATGCTCATACTTTGACTTCCGGGTTCTAGAATCTCTGACATTTTCGCCATCTTGGACTTAAAGAAAACACACAGATAAACAAAATGGTAAATATTATTTTATTTGTTTTAGCAAATTTGTTTAAACTTTCAATTCTATTTCACACTTATTAATTTTTATGTTGTGTTTAGTTTTCCTGATTAGCTTTTGCACTACCTTTTGTGTTTGCTTTTGTTGCGCTCCGGCGTATTAATTCAGACATTAATGTAGTTCTACAACGGTACTTTACTTTTTTATTAGAATACCGAAACAAGCTTTTGTTGTTTGACTTTATTTGTGTTATAGCTTAGGTAGATTATTAAAGAAATAATTTTGAAAAAAAAACTTAGGCAAATATTTTTCAACGAATTTTTGTTATCAGAATCGTCTTCAATTTGAACATAGGCCTAGCACTTTTTCAGATAATAAGAATAAACTTTTGAAACTATTATTATTTCATGATGCTACCTAAGGTCACATTACTATTTTAAAAAGAACAAAAGAATCTAGAGTTAATAAAAGGCACTTTTTTCTGTCTGCTAAAAAACTATGATTGCGAGGAATGTCAATGACGTCATAAGATGGCGATCAGTAGCGCTCTAGGATAAACTCTGTAGGTAGCCGTATATTCGCAGAACGTAACGCGATACCTTGTTTATCTATTTTTAGATCTCTGCTATAGGTAGTTCAGGTGTGCTGCGAGGCACAAGGTGGGGATTTCCGAAATATATTGTTTGGCAAACAAGATATATTTTGCGATAAGATACCATAGGCTTTTTCTCTTACTAAATTTTTCAATTTGAACTTTTCACATGTTAAAGATAAAAAAAGTTATGGCCTGCGATTTAAAACATATTCAGTAACAGCTATTAACGAAATATTGTGATACAGTTTTCTGTTTAAATTGGTGAACTATTTTTTCAAATACGTTATGGTTGGATGTTGTTTTTGTAAGAATGTTATCATAACAGTTTGATGCATTAATTTGGTTTTCACTTAGTTGTAGATATATTTATTTACTTTGTTTTGGTAATAGCAAATGATTCAGACTTATAAAAATGGCGATTTCTTGAGATTATTTTCTACATTTCAGCCATTAATGCAACTTATGCTTGTTGGAATCACACAGGTATATGTTCGCACTGCTGATACATAGAAAATAATTTCATAAAATTACTATGGTAACGGACGCAGCTTCAAAACTTTTAACATATGTTTCGTACGAAGTTAGGTTGTAATAACTTTAACACTATAAGCGTTCCAGAACACGTCTGAGGTTAAGAACATATGTGCAGCAAATAAACAAACAAAAAGGGATGCGGTATCAATAAAAACTGATTTTAATGTTCATTCCTTCTTAGGCCTCTAATTACAATTTTGCATTTAAACAAATAAATGAATATGAAATATTAGCGTTAGGTGTTTAAAAGACCTGGAATATTTATATCAAGGTTTTACTGAAGAGACAGGTCCGAAATGTTATCATAATTTTCCAGTTAAATATTTAACAGTAAAATGTAAAAAGTGTTTATTGCATTCTTAGTGATAAGTATCAGCTGGTTTGATGTATACATAAGACATTCCAAGATAATATATGTAAGGCACGTGGGCGTTATCGTACTGATAATCTGACGTAAGGTTCTACTCGCGTGCAATAACTTAGTTATTATCTGGATCATTATTGTATATTATTCCACACGTTCTTATACTATATGGATATTCTCATTCTACTTTATGATGCATTTATCAAATATAAACCACAATGATATAAATAATAATGAAAGGTACTTAAGAAACAGGATGATGATATTATAGTCTTTTAAACATGTACAAATAGTTCTGACGCGGGAGGAAAAAAAACACTTAACATATAATAAAGAAAAAATACATACTTTTTGCGCATGTACTCAAAATGAGTTTCATGAACTTTCTATAAATAGATTATTGACATTGACAAACAAGAAAAAATATTACCTGAATTCAAGATAATTATAAATGTATTTACTTATGACTCATGGAATAGAAAATGATTGTACTCCAGTTCTATGCTTTGAATTTTAATTTATTTGAATTAAAATTGAATGCTGTGAAACATTAAATTAAACTTAAATTTATGTATAGCCGAACTTTAAGAAAATATTAATTCATATTTTATTTAAAATATGAAAATAACGACCTTTAAAATTTATTTCAACCAATAATGTATGTAATTTTAACATAGGAAATAAAAACACATTATAAAATGCATTACCAACTACCTTTTTGAAATTGATACATTGATGCTTATTTATTATTCACTGTTCATTAAAAAAAGGAATCTACCTTTTGATTTACATAAATCATATTTTAATTAAAATGATTTTAAATCCTAAAAACTACTAACTCTTGATCTTCCTTTAATTTTCGCATTCTGTCTATTTTACTAAATCAATTTTGAGATTTTGCTTTTTTGACTTTTCGATTTATTATCGATGCAATTCATTTGATCAGATTTTTTGTTTGATTTTTGAATCCGTTTTTTATTTGAATCCATTACTTATGCTAACTTTTCTTAGGGTCCCTTTGTTTATTTTTGCTTGGTATTTGGTACTAAACGTTTTAAAACGCAATAGAAGCATACCGGTATGAAGTGGAATTTTTCAGTTATGCCTCCAGATATTTCTGGATAAATCCAGATGTATAAGTATCAAAGATAACTAGCACTCCTGGCATTTACTTGTTTTCGGAGAAACTTTTGAAACTATGCCAAACATCTTTCCCCTGAATCACGTCACTAATATATAAATATATTTTAATACGCACGTGTAAACAACGTGCTCAGGTGTTAAAATCCTCAGAATAATTTACATTTTCGTAATCTTCAGTAAGGGACGTATCTTAGTGGAATATTCTTATACCTTCTTAACAGAACTTGATTAAGGATTTACGTTAAAAAAAGAAACATTCAAAGATGGTAAGAAATATCTTCTATTCTTTAACATCACTGCGGTACTTAAAACATTTGTTGTAAATAGAATCATAAAGTTCAATTTAAATGTACGGATATAAATTTAATTAAAGAGAACTATACATTTGTATGAAACTGCAGGCAGAAACAGCCGAAGATAAGCGAGCAATGTTTGCAAACACGTCACCAACAAGTTCATATATCAATCGAAGTGTGTCAAGCAAAGCCAGGGTAACACAGATAATAGCATGCGACATATAATCAAATACTGTATCACGGATAGGGGCGGGGTTTAAAGCATGTCACATATCATTCTTCAAGCAGCAATATCTGTAAGTTCTGTATGGGGGCGGGGGCTTTGTGCATACAGCCAATGGTCAACTTAACTTCCGGCGAACGATATGCTATATGCATGAGATATTGAACAAGATCAAGGTCAATATTACAAATAGCATGAAACATAACACACACCAATATGTAAATATGAAATGGGGAAAATATAGCATGCGACATATTATTCTTAAAGGAGCGCTTATAACAAGTAAAGTAAAGAAAAAGATACAGCAATTTATTCATGCCTACGCTATATTGATGGTTAAGACATGCAAACATCTGCAAGGTCAATCAACTAAATACGAATTTTAACGTCACTCAAAGCATGCGATCGAAAACAAAGAAACACATGTGCATACATGACACCAGACGGCATGAAATGTAATATACCTTGTTAAAAAGAAATAAAATGTAACATTTAAAAACGTAGTATAGTGTAAACATTCCGAAATATGTATTGCTATTTAGATATAATGTATTTAAAATCCAAAATGATATAAATAGTATAACGCGACAAATCTTACTTCTTTGAACATCGTATATAATAAATATCTTATGTAAACGTATGTTTTCGCTATTTATTCTTCTTTTTTGATGTGTGGTGAATCAGTTATTCTCTTGAATATTAACTTACTTAACACGTCATTAATATTTGTTTAATAAGTAATGATTTAGCATCAGTTTATAAATTTGATTACCGATTTACTTTTGAAATAATGATATATATATTTAGATTATAAAATGATGTACATGTATTTTGTGTATTATTTGCCTATTGTATGCAATGTTACTATAAAGCACAGTTGCATGCGACATCCACTAATTTTGTGGATGAATTATTTTGAGTACGAAACATTTTTCAAAAAAATCGGACATATTTTTCTTTGGGTTCCTTTTCTTTGAAATTCTAATAAGTTAATATTATGCAACACTAATACCAGTCTATGTTTTGCGCATGCGTGTTTTAGCTGTTTTATGGTGGCATTCGTCATTTTACCATGGTCCTTATGGTCTGTTCCCAAAGAAATTCAACATGCTTTTCATGTAGGCTTGGAGTGTGAACTTTTATTTTTACATTTCACTAATATGTTTTTGAAAGTTTAATAGTTATTTAACATAGTTTGGCACACACAAACTTCCTTTCGCGTGAATGAAGCCTCGCGATGTATCGGGCTCCGCGAGATTGAGTCTGTTAATAGCATACATGAGAAAACATGATTGGTTTCACAGGACCGAGCAAAAGGACAATGTTCAGTTATTGTTTATTAGTAATTAAACGTAAAAACCGCACGTACAGATCTTCACCTAAAATTTTGGTTGATAGGTTGCCGGAAAATACGACCTTCAGGCCGAGGCCGAGGTTCGAAACTGGATCCACCAACTCACCGGTGAAGTTATAGAAGAATATGAACTTGAAAAACGGCTTAAAGATGGAGTCATCCTATGCCAGTAAGTATTTTAATATATGTTACATTTCTAATAGTCTGCATTTAAAATATATTTTAAAAAACGTTTTAGTGCATTGAGTTTGTTTCTTTGTTAAAACACAGAAGAGGCGTAATTGTTAATGTAAGGAGACGTTATGTTTGTTGGTAGAATGATGTTTTAATGATATGATGGTATGATTCATGAATAATATAATTCTACAGATTGATAAAGACTTTATTCGACGGTACCCCACCAGACAGCCTCCCTCCAGCATGTAGAAGTTTAAAGCCAAAAGCCAGAAAGAGCGACAAAGGAGCAATACAGGTGAGCGTTCTATATATGTAAATGTATGACATCATAAAAAAAGAAATGAGAATGAACGGAAATTTAGAAATAAATACATTCTGGAAACACTACTTGATTGTTATTGAAAGACAATTTCATTCACTTTAAATGTATATAGCAAACTACGGGAAATCTTTAAAGTTCCTGACTGAATTATTTTGTTACCAAGTAATGAACAGAAACAAGTTTGTTAGGTATAACAGACAAACGATAATTTATATTTCTTATCAAACAACGCAGTAAATTTAATGTTTTAGTATGTTTGAGCGTTTTAAATAATCACAAACTTATATAGAACATTTTGTTATTGCAGATGGCCAATATTGAAATATTTCTGACAGCGGCGACGGCCTACGGGGTACCACAAAGTGGACTATTCGCATGTAATGACTTGTATGAAGGTAAAAACATGCCGATGGTGATAGCAACAATTCTTCAAGTAGGCTCTGAGGTAAGCACTGATTTCATTCTGCAGTTACATTTTTATCTCGTTAAAGTTATACAAATTCATGCTTAAATTCCGTACTTACAAAACTCACTATTGAAGCAAGTAAATGTGATACTAAATCTTTATAGTCCGTACTAGTAGCATGAAAGTCAAAATAGTGCATGTAGCGAAATGTATGAACAAAAAATATAGCAGAGTTTTGAAAAACAATCTGGAGATGTTTGTATAAATGAATGTAATTTGGTCATACTTGAAAATAGGATAACTGTTTTGGTTTAATTTTGTCACGGTCTGTTCCTGATGTATGCAAGATAGTTTGAGACTGCTTCGTTTAATCGAAAACGCTGATCGAAAAAATTTGATTGTTCTTAAATAATTCGCATTTTTTTTCAAAACTAAACATCTTCAGATGGTGTAGTACACACTTATGATAGGTCAGCTTATAAACATATAGCCAACAATTATATGTAGAATATACTCTTATATTCGGAGACAACAATGGCAGAATACTTAGAAACTAAAACCAATGTACTGGATGTGTGTAAAAACAAATGGGCAGTTCTAAAAATTGAAAAGAAGACATTTCAGAGAATGAAATTTATTAGATATATAGCTGCATTTCATGACTGAATTGAATTTTGATTTGTAATTTTAGGATTTACAGTAACAATATATTATTACTTTATTTCTAAAAGAAACATCATGAAATTTATTATGGCGTCATCGCATCACGTGAATTATTATCACGTCAAAAGAATTACCCATTTGTCACTAACCTTTTTGCTTTGCAAATGGAAAATGAAACATGAGTATTTATACATAAATACGTGGCTTCAAGATTCCATTTGTACAGTATTATATTGTATCCCTTAGCAAAAGCAGAAATATTAAATGGATTAGACAATCAAATCTGATATAATGCTTTTGAGATACGCATAAGCCACACGATATTTTGGTTCTTAGAGTTCTTTCAAAAACGAAACTCAAACTTTTCAAATAAACATTTTAAGCTAATCATATCGACCAACAATTTTGTATTATTTAAACATGAAAAAGTACAAGGTGTTTTTTTATCTAAAAAGAATACACTTTTATAGTGTTCAACAAAATTGCATGAACGTTGTCTATCCATTACTATGATTGTCTTTGCACGTTAGTTTACAAAATAAATCTGTATCAAAACATTTGGAAAAAAAAACAACATAAATACCGTATATATCATAATAACATTCTTGTTTGAAAATAACACTTTCTAATAAATTAACCTCGTTTAAATCTGAGATAATACTTGTTAAACCAAATGTTTTGTTTTTTTAAATCAAATTGATACAGATTTTTTTAGTTTAGATAAATTCGCAAATAGTTTCTATATATCTATCTATTCATTTGTGTAATATTTGGTGTATTAAGAAGTGTTTGGCTGTGGGCATTTTGAACGTGTAATGAACGCGTTAACTTGAACTTAGAATAAACTGGTGTTATAATAATTAGTGCGTGCTTTAGACGTCTTAATCCGCCGGTGTAAACAGTGTTTTCTACATTTAAATATATTTCATGAAAAATGAATGAATGAAAATTTTATTAGGAGCATATAATATGAATGACATTTATAATGGATTTAAAATTCGCGTAAAACTGTTGGAGAGGAATGTAAATATGGATTTTATAAAGTGAAAATTTGAATAATACCACGGGACTATACCAACATAATAGAAGACTCAATTATTGGAGACTCGGTAAAGTGAGGAAAGCAAATAGAACAGAGGACCACAGAATGCTCTGGATTTTGAGAACAAAAAATGCTGAATTTTATTTCATTGAATATTTCGAATAATGGACTGTCTCAGAATGTTCTTTCCTAAGCAACAGGTATGTATGATTCAGAGCCAGCCAGCTAAAAGCAACTTCATATAATAGTCGATCAAGACAAAAATAATGATAGAAATATCTAAAAATATAACACTAACGCTAAAAATAATTCAAGTAAAACTTTCAAATCATTTTCATTTCACGTACAAGTGAATCATTACAAATGTGAATATCGATTTATTTAAGACATAGGCTATATTGATTTTTGAACAACAATATATGTCTACACGTATATTGATTTTTAGAAGTACATATGACTACACGTATATTGATTTTTTTAGAAATACATAGGACTACACGTGTATTGATTAGGAATACACGTATATGTGTCACTGTTTGCTTTAAATGTATGCTTTCATCGTCTACGCTTTTAAACATGAGAATGTAGAAATGTATGTAAACCTAAACTTGCAAATTTGTGCAATAAATTAGACATATAGCTTAAAACCATAGGTTGCTCGACATACTAGATCGGTGTAGTAACTAAGCCTGGATAAATTGGAAACAGGAAAACGAAAGGAGTTCTTTTATCTCAAATGTGCAAGACTTCATGATAACAGCTTTACTTTTAGATGTCTTACAGATACAACGGAATGACATTCACATACACAAAAACGATAACTGGGGCATTTTGTGCACGAGCATGGCAAAAACAACTTTTTCTGACACAAATTTCTACATTTATATTCACCTTTCTTAAGGTTTCTTATGTCTCTTTTTGACAAGATCTTTACTGTAAAGTAAAAATTAAGGCGTTTTTAAATGAAACATTGAATTCTTTGAAATTATTTTATTTGTTAATCATTCTTTATTTTTTCGCGTAATTGATAAGTCTATAAGTAAGTTGTAATGTTATATAAACAACATTTTTGGCCATTAATTTGATTAACAATATTTACGATATCTCTGAAAGAAAGCTCTGTTTTACGGCGAAGTGCCTTGCCTTGGACAATAAATGTAAATCTGTCTTTCTCTTAACTGCACATTCTGTAGTGATAATTCTAAATGTTATGTACAAGAAGTAATATGTAATCTGCATTGTGGATAACAAAACAAAACAAAACGCTTTCAATGTGATGTTAATAAAACAAATAACATTTTATGCTGAAATGGGTTTAAGGTACTGTGTATTTACATCGGCATTTCTTGATAAAGCATGTACAAATTAACCATATATTCATCACACAAGCTGATAAAATATTTAGCGTTATCAGATCTTTGAATTCCTGAACCAGCACTGTCTGATACGTACTTCTGTTCCGATATAAGCAGTAATAAGTTCATACCAATGTTTGAAATGGTAAAGTTCGTAACAAATTTAGTTAAAAGGATGGGGGGTTAACAAAATTATTTATAAATAAACCAGTACCTTTTATCCAGAGAAAAAATAAATACATCATTTATTTCAAGGAACTATTAATTCTAAGATATTCATAATTTACAAATATTTTCAAAAATACCATTCATTTTTCGTTGAGCATACATTTAAAACATATCAATTAAAAGTTAAAAAAGTTTTCAAAGAAGTTGCATTCCTTGTACTCTGATAAGTTCGGTTTGGGTAATTGCAGGCTCAAAGGCTCAAGTTTGATGGTCCCACCTGTGGGTCCAAACCCGCACCACGTAATGCTAAGAAGAAATTTACCAGACAACAAATTAGGGAAAGTCATTCAATTCTTACGCCTCAAAGCGGTACAAATAAGTATGCATCACAAAAAGGCATGTCATTCGGATCTGTTCGGCATTGCGCAGACATCCGAGCAGATGACCTTGACCAAGAAGGTCAGTCAGAGCTAAGTCTTCAAGGTGGTACTAATAAATTTGCCAGTCAAAAAGGCATGTCGTTTGGATCTGTTCGACACTGTGCGGATATTAGAGCAGACGACATGTCACAAGAGGGCCAGGGTGAAGTAACGTTACAAAGCGGTACTAATAAATTCGCCAGTCAGAAGGGCATGCGAATGGGAGCAATTCGGCATATTTCAGATATTAAATCAGACGATATGGTAGCAGAGGGTATGGGTGAACTTACGCTTCAGGGAGGAACAAATAAATTTGCCAGCCAAAAAGGGATGTCGTTTGGTGCAGTAAGACACTGTGCTGATATCCGAGCAGACGATTTAAACCAAGACAGCGCTGGGGATATAGGTCAACAAATGGGTACAAATAAATTCGCATCTCAAAAAGGCATGCGCATCGGAGCTGTCCGCCATGTTGCTGATATTCGAGCAGACGACATGCAGCAGGAGAGTTCGGGACATGTGAATCTGCAAAGCGGCTGGAACAAAGGAGCAAGCCAAAGTGGAATGAGGGGTTTCGGTGCAGCACGGCATGTGTCTGATATTAAAGTCACGGAATTGTGTGACGAGTATGAACCGGAAGAAGGCGACGAAGATTATGAAGGCTACAATGATGAAACCGTGCAAGAGTGAAACAATGAAACTGTGAAATGACTTAATGAAAATATTACACTGAACTGATTAACGCAAATATTTCACACAGGCTAACATTGTTTACAAATCTGTAACTTTCATAAAATACATTTACTTATAAAGGACTTCAAATTCTTATATCAATGTCATTTTATTAAGACTAAGTAAGAACAAGAACTATAAAGATAGGATATTTTGAGGAACATTAGCTGAAATAATAGATTAAATAACTAAGGACTTCCGGGAAAGAATGGACAAATTAATTATTGCGTTTTTGATAATGTTTTCATTATTTATTCGTACAACGTGACTGAATGTCTGAACTTATGAATAAATTATTACTCAGAAATCTTTTTTGTAATATATGCATCAATTAAAGAATTTAGCATAGATCTATATTATACATTATTATGATTTGGAATGTATTAATAACATTATATAATCATACAAATAGAGTGATCGCTTAACTATATATCATATACAAATATTGGAATAACACTTTAGACGCTACAGGAATGAAAAACCGATGTTTGCAGAAAATATATCTATCATACATATATACTATACATATTTATAGCAGATAAAGATGACAACGTCGCTTATAAGCATTCGTAGGTGAATGCCGCATGTATACATATCCGGTATAAGTAGGTATTAAATCAACATATTGTGTATTTTCTTGTTAAAATCTTATACGTGTATTTCATTCTGAAAGTAATTGAGATTTAAACAAAACTCGATAATTTTTTCTTGATAGAGTATTGAAATTTTAGAGTCGATTTCTCTCGTAATTCAAAAAGGGATTTTAAGAAAAATTTTCCAATAAAGAAACTTACTTTTAGGCACAAAGAAATAAATTTCAAGGACCAGTCAGTGGCCCTAAGCCAGCCGAACGAAAGAAGCGGTTATTCACAAGGTCCCAACTAAGAGCGGGTCAGTGCATGATCGGTTTACAGTCTGGAACAAACCGGTTTGCTAGTCAAAAAGGAATGAGTTTTGGAACAGCGCGTCACGTTTCTGATATCAAATGTGACGACATCGATCCCGATGGCAATTCGATACTAACGCAACAAGCTGCAACCAACAGATTTGCGTCACAAGCAGGATCACGTGGTTTTGGAGCTGTTCGGCATATTTCGGACATAAAATCAGACGATATGTCAGAAGAAGGGAAATCAATTATCAATATACAAATGGGATCTAATCAGTTTGCTTCCCAGAAAGGAATGTCGTTTGGTAACGTTCGTCACGTAGCTGATATAAAAGCTGATGACGTAAGCATAGAAGGAATGGCTACGTTAAGTTTACAGTCTGCTGGGACTAATCGATGCGCGTCGCAACGCGGAATGACGTCATTTGGTGCACAGCGCCATGTTTCTGATATAAAAGTGACTGAAATTTGTGATGAATCGGAGTACCTTCCCGAGGACGATGAGGAAGAATTAGTTTACGAATGATAAATATTCGCTAAAAAGAAATAATATAAATGAATAAGAATTTACGGTGAATCTTATTTACATTCTAAAAGAGATTGTTTCTTAATGAACACTAACATTGCTTTATTTTTTAAAAAGACATAACATTTTAATATGATACATTCAAGCATTCGGAATGAGATGTTTAAGCAAATAAATAAATATATAGATATATATATGGAAAATGTTTGACAGAAAGTATATATAATCTTCATTTGAATAAAGTTTTAAACTTTAAGTTTGTTTTCAAATAATACCGGTTTGTGTGCAGTTGAATAATTTGAGCGTTATGTGTAAAATGAAATGTAAGGTAAGCCCATCTTCATTATATAATAGCCAGACACTTCTTATTACACATGTTTATGTTTCTTATTTCTAAAAATAGGAACAAGTGTATTTTATTTACATGAATATGTATTAAACAAACAAGTAATGAATATAGTATATGTTTATATTTAAAGATTCTTAATTGATTTATATGATAGATATATTCATTAAATGTCAAAGATAAGGAATTTTGAAATGTTATCAACTTATCATATATGTTTTCAACTTGTTATTACAGGCTCAAAGACATATGTTCAATGGTCCTACGGCTGGAGCCAAACCAACAACAAAGAATATCAGAGTCTTTACGGAAGACCAGCTGAACGCCGGAAAGACAATTATTGGCCTACAAGCGGGCACAAATAAACTTGCCTCACAAGCAGGGATGCGAATCGGTGCCTCTCGACATATTTCAGACATAAAAGCAGATGACTTTGACAGAAGGGGCCAGGGTATCATTGGAGGTCAAGCTGGTTTCAACAAAGGTGCAAGTCAAGCAGGCATGAGCATCGGTGGTACCCGGCACATTGCTGATATCAAAGCTGATGAGATGAGTGTTGAAGGGAAAGGTATAATTGGACTGCAGGCTGGAACAAATAAAAAGGCTTCACAAGCTGGAATGTCTTTTGGCGCACCTAGACAAGTTTCTGATCAACATCTTACAGAGATGAGTCACGACTCACATGGCATAGTGGGTGGGCAGGCCGGTTACAATAAAGGGGCGTCTCAAGCAGGTATGTCTTTTGGGGCGACTAGACACATTGCCGATACGCACGTTGACGACTTTGACAGAGCAGGTCAAGGAATCATCGGTGGTCAGGCTGGTTTTAACAAGGGCGCCTCCCAAGCAGGAATGAGCTACGGTGCACCGCGACAAGTGTCTGACCAAAGAATCGCCGAGGCTGATCGTACAAGCGAAGGTATAATTGGCGGACAGGCTGGTTACAATAAAGGTGCCACTCAAGCTGGTATGAGTTATGGTGCACCAAGACAAGTTTCTGACCAAAGAATTTACGAACCGGATCGTGCTGGAGAGGGAATTATTGGAGGACAGTATGGGTACAACCAAGGGGCAAGCCAAGCCGGTATGAGCTTCGGTGCTCCTAGACATGTCGCAGACATACGTGCAGATGACATGAGTCAAGATGGACAAGGATACATTGGATTACAGTCCGGAAGCAACAAAGGTGCTTCTCAGTCAGGAATGTCGTTCGGCAGTATGAGACACCCTGCAGACATGCGAATTCCAAATATAGAGGACTCTTACTGTGATTTCTAATTATTCCAAAAAAATCAAGTAAAATACTTAATGCTTAAAACGTTTAACTATAATTTTTTACTCTCGAAGAATTACAAGCATATTAAGTTTAAGAAACGTAACGGTTTCCAGTGAAATGAAAAAAAAATAGACATTGAACAATTTTGTAAACAATTTGTTTTAAGGTAGTTATGAAAGCTGACTTTGGGCTGTTTTTATGTTTTGTTTAAGCTTATATATAATATGTGTAAGAAATGTGTTCAGACTCATTTGAATGTCACGGTAAATGAAATATTTGGCATATATAATTCAAACTTTACAATGTGAGAACTCCTAATAACATGAAAATGAAGAAGCAAATAGAGTCGTTTTCAACAAATCCTTTACCAGATGATCTTATTATCAACATATTTATTTATATACAAATGTACTTCTTTATACAAACTCGTATATATACATTTAACATATTTATTACTTTCTTTTTTAATTATATCTATTTTAACTCAGAATCTCTTATCTAACTTATTTTCTTTTAGATCTACAACATAATTTTCACATAATTTTCCTTTTTTTATTTATTTTATATTCATACACTTACAACTTGTTAGGTTTTTCCATTTGATAAAATCAAATTTTACATTTCATATTTTGTTTGTCACTAGAAAATGCTTTGTTATGTGATTTAAATAAAATATTTTAATAAAAAAAAATTAGTTGAATTTCATCAGTGTGACTCCATAAAGCGTCCTTTATCTTTTCTCTTTTTTTTAAATGAAATACTTCCTCCCCACAAAACCTCCCGTGTGTGTTGCTGACATTAACTTTCTCTTTAAGAATATTCAAAATACACTTAACACGTTTTCAAATCTTGATTTACAATTTCAACTTCTACTTAAAAAAATCTTTTAGTTGATTGTTTTTTTGAAAATAGTTAAAAAAACTGCTAGGCTATTTGGACATAAATATACTTCGTCGAAAATGGCGCTTAGCTAGAAGGGGAGATAAATTTTACAAACTCGGAAACTATCATAACCTTATGGTAGAGAAGACTTTTTTACATGGCGGCGACGTAGATCTTTTTCATGTGTGTGTAAGTGTCACCTTTACATGTTGTTTTTGTGTGATGACTGAATGCCATGTTTGATGCTGTTCAGCATATGCTTTCTGTTACAGTTTTTTGCTTTGCTGAGTTTACCGTATTAACACTTTAGAAGATTTTAATCAAAAACTGGTGTAGATATATTTGTAAATTACACTCGATTATAGCAATAATCATCATATTTTGTGATAGTGTAATTAATCAAGCTTGATCGCATCATCATTAGCCATGCTTATCATGCGTCATTAGCTCATTAGCGTACTAAGACACGCCTACTTACTCTTCAGGCACAGAGAAATCAGTTTAATGGACCAACTTCTGGCCCCGCCCCAGGAGAAAAGAAAAAGAAGAAGTTTACAAGAAAACAACTAAAAGCGGGGCAGTCAATACTGATTTTACAGAATGGAACGAACAAGTTTGCATCTCAGAAAGGGATGACATGTCCGGGGGCGGTCCGTCATGGGGCAGATATTCGAGCAGATGACCTAACAGATGAAAGTAATAGGTTCGTGATCCTGCAATCGGGGACAAACAAATATGAAACGCAAAAGGGAATGAGAATCGGAACACAACGTCATTGCGCTGACATTCGGGCCGACGACGTTAACCAGGATAGTGAAGCCATTACAATTCTACAATCCGGCACGAATAAGTTTGAAACCCAGGCAGGCATGAGAGGCGGATTTGGAGCTGTTCGTCACTGTGCCGACATTCGTGCAGATGACCAGACAAAGGAAAGTGAAGCTGAGGTTTGGCTACAATCAGGTTCTAATAAATTTGCATCACAGAAAGGTATGACTGCTCCTGGCGCTGTAAGACACGGAGCCGACATTCGGGCTGATGACCTCAATCAAGAAAGTAACGCCATTAATATCCTCCAGTCTGGAACTAACAAATTCGACTCTCAGAAAGGCATGAGATGCTATGGTGCAGTTCGTCACGGTGCTGATATCCGAGCCGATGATCAGACAAAAGAAAGTGAAGCCGAAGTCTGGCTTCAGTCTGGTTCTAATAAATTTGCATCCCAAAAAGGAATGACTGCTCCAGGTGCTGTAAGACATGGTGCTGATATCCGGGCCGACGATATCAACCAAGAAAGCAACGGTATAACAATTCTTCAGTCTGGTACCAACAAGTTTGACTCCCAAAAGGGCACACGTGGCTTTGGTGCAGTCCGACACGGAGCGGACATTAGAGCTGACGATGAGAACCAAGAAGGTCAAGGTATTGTCATCTTGCAGGCTGGTACTAACAAATTCGACAGCCAGAAAGGTATCCGTGGCGGTTTTGGCGCAGTGCGTCATTGCGCTGATATAAGAGCTGACGAATTTAATGAGGAATCGAATAGAGAAGTCCAGTTGCAGTCGGGAACCAATAGGTTCGCATCACAAAAAGGAATGACGTCATACGGTGCAGTACGTCATGGTGCAGATATCAGAGCAGACGACTTCAACCTAGAAAGTAACGCAACAATTAATTACCAGTCGGGATGGAACCAGGGAGACTCACAGAAAGGCATGCGTGGTGGTTTTGGTGCTGTTAGACACGGTGGCGACATTAAAGTACGAGAATTGTTCGACGATGAAGATCTGTTTGACTATGATGATCTTGAATATGCTGACCCATCCCAGGGTACCTCGGACATGTAATGTTACTGGGATGATAAATTAATGACCTTCGTTTGATGAAAACTGAAATTAATATGAAAATGAGACAATTTCATGTTTTATCTTTATATTTTTTTTCCGATTTAAATATCTTAATAATTTTCGACCAAAGAAAAAAGGAACATAAACTTTTTGCATGAAATCGGACGAATGTATCCATTTTGAAACATAACAATGGAATATAACAACACAAATGCGAATAAACCAGGGTCATTTGGGACGCCATATATGAACATGAATGAACTTTCGCTTAAGACTTTATTTTCGATTCCTTGTGGATTATTTCTTTCGAATAAGACACGCTTGACTGCAAATAACCCAAAAGAACATTTGTGTTAGACTGTTTGTGTGATTTTAAAATAACTGTTTAAGATTATAGATGTTTTTTGTGATGTATATATTTTTTTAATTTCTATTATTTTTTTTAAATTTTTTATAATTTTGTTAACAGTTAAAGTATACATGTGCAATATATTTAAGTTCCTATGAAGAATGTAACTCTCATTTAGATAAATGTTAAAATATTTTCCTTCCCTTTTAGTAACTAGGAAGTTCCCTGCCAAATTTTATCCTTTTTTACCAAAAATTCGCATTTACCTACCCTACATAAATTGGCAAATATATCAGCACCTGATAATAACGATAAGATCTTAGATATTTGATATACCTATAAATAAAAGCTACATGGACTGTTTTATCCTAGATTCTTTGCTTGTGTAAGTGATTTACGTCAATGTCATACGCGAAAACATCGTTCATGTAAATAATGATGGATCTTAGCATGAATAAAGTTTTGATTTAATTAATAACTTACGTTCTTTATTTCTTAATTTATTATAAAATATGATTCAGTTTTTTCCCTGAAAGGTACATTTGAATAGCTTGCTATGAGTTTTATATTGATATATATAATCTTGTACAACAATAAGCAAGATTTTTGTGTGGAAAGTGTTGTCCAGCGGTTTTGTAGCTTCAGTAGATACGGATAAATGCCGTCAGTATAGAATCCGGTATATGCCGTCTAACCTTGTGTTTTCTTCTACTTACTTCGGTAAGTATCAGCAGTGTGCTACATTGTCAAATTTAAGTTAACCCAAGTTGCCGACTTTAACTCTAGCCTCTTTTTGCCACTTATTATGCATTTGCTGCCATTATGCATTTCACCGTTCAATTTGCCTGCAAATTTTCACATTTCTCATATCCTTTCACTGAATTTCTATACCCTTTTTTCCTAAGAACATTTTACAAAAAAATCCCTCCATTTTGTATGCCATTTTCCAAAATTTTCAACATTTTCCTTGAAACTTTTTAAATACAAATTCTGATCCTTTCCTTTTGTACCTCATCAGTATGGTCGTGTGGAATGCTTGAAAACGTTTTCTTAAATAAACAATTTCTTAAATACAATATGGCCAATTTAAGATAAATTAGCGCTTTTTTGCTTAATATCGTCTGCTTCATTTTTGTGTCTGCTGTAAAACAAAAACATGTTTCAATGACGTAAGAAGATCGCAAAATAGAATGATAAGTTATGCATGACGTTGAAGTCAGCTTGATTTCAGTTTATTTTTACTGCTATTTAGCATTTATTTATATTACTAAAATGCTTTAGAATAGATAAATACATGTATCTGGTCTGTTGTAGCTATAGTTACTGTAAGGTATAACATTGCATCAAATTAATTTAGACGGTATGAAATGAATATACATGTTGGTGATACCCCACATTCTTTCCAGATGACCAATATGATGAACGGAACAGAAGAAAAAACCGAAAAGCCCAAGAAAAAGTTCTCAAAGAAAACATTGAGACAGAGCGATGGCCTCCTTACACTCCAAACAGGAACTAACCAATTCGCTACACAAAAGGGCATGCGCATGGGGGGTGTGCGTCATGGCGCAGATATTCGCGCGGACGATCTTGACCCAACCGGAAATGCTGAGCTTAGCCAAGTGGCGGCCACTAATAAATTTGCTACTCAAACCGGTATGAGTTTTGGTTCTGTGAGACATGCAGCCGACATTCGTTCTGACGACATTGTGCCGGAAGGAATGACAGAACTAAGTCAATCAGCGGCAACAAACAAATATGCTACTCAAGCCGGTATGAGTTTTGGTTCTGTGAGGCATGCAGCTGACATTCGTGCAGATGATGTTTGTATGGAAGGAAATGCTATGATTATGTCACAAATGGGTTCCAACCAGTTTGCCTCCCAGAAAGGAATGACGGGTTTCGGGTCAGTGCGCCATGCTAAGGATATATCATGTGATGAAATATGTTTGGAAAGCAATGCAACTATTGGTTCTCAGCTGGGATCCAATCAGTTCGCTTCTCAGAAAGGTATGACCTGTTTCGGAGCAGTGCGCCATGCCAAAGACATCAGTTTAGAAGAGCCTTGCTTGGAAGGAAACGCAACTATAGGTCTCCAGTCAGGTTCAAACCAGTTTGCCAGTCAAAAGGGTATGCGAGGTATGGGAGCACTGAGAATGGTTTCTGATATTCGCTGTGATGACCAAGACGAACAGGGCAAAGGTGTCTTAACACAGGCTAGTGCTACCCATATATATGCCTCCCAGAAGGGAATGACAGGATTTGGGGCTACCCGTCATGGTGCAGATGTTAAATGTGATGATCTTGACGACAGGGGTAAGGGTGAACTCTCTCAGCAAGCCGAGACAAACATATATGCCTCCCAGAAGGGAATGACAGGATTTGGGGCTACTCGTCACGGGGCAGACTTTAAATGTGAGGATCTTGACGACAGGGGTAAGGGTGAACTCTCTCAGCAAGCCGAGACAAACATATATGCATCACAGAAGGGAATGACAGCTATGGGAGCACTAAGACACTGCACTGATATTAAGTCCGACGATGCCACTCTAGAAGGTTTATCTGTGCTTACACTACAAACAGGGACAAATAAGTTTGCATCCCAGAAAGGTATGACAGCTATGGGCGCTGTTCGAGGAATCGCTGACCGTCGTATAAGACCACTTTGGGATGAGGGTGATTCTGATGAATACCCAACCGACGAGGAAGATGAACCTAAGCCAGAGCCTGTAAGAAAACGATCTTCCTTTATGACACGACCTGAAACACTGCCCAAAAGTGAACCGGAAGAAAAACCCATACCGGAAGTGGAAGAAGAAAAACCGGAAGAAGAAAAACCGGAAGAAGATGGAAATGATGAAGATGCAACTTTTACATTTAGCACTGATTAAGAAACATTTTTGGACTAAATTAAGGAGCAATATGAAGGAATTAAAAATATGATAAATATATATCTAAAAACTTGAAGAAAATATTTTTGACGATTTAAGTGATTACGTTTAAACTTCTGGTTTTCGTCTTTTTAGAAATATATATACAAAAGCTTGTGACACTAAGGTTACGCTAAAGTTCTTACTAATATGCAATGAGTTTTCGTAAGTAATGTTTTTAAAGGTACATTTCTTTTTTCGTTTTCTTGATTGTTGTTATAGTTAATCCCATTCAAAATGGGAGAGGCATTCGGGACAAATGGTGCAATTACACATTTCTTTTTTTAACTATCATTTTATGTATATAATCTTAAAATCGCATACTTAAAATAGTTTCATTTTTGTAAAATTTCCATTACAATCATCCGGTCATTATCCTCATCCAGGCATTCCTGACCGCACCTTTTATTGGTTTTGATCCGGAATGTTGACAGTATTTATCCCTTCCCCTGATATCCCTAACCCTTCTTCGTATTGCTTTCCACTTAAGAGGGTACCTTTTACATGCAACTTGTAATACAATTTTTTCATGTTGTTGTCATTTTTGTCGTTTGTTGTGATAAGAGGTCACGTGACTCGATTTTTTATTTATATTGTCTTTGGATCCACCGGCTATTTATATTCTGTATGTCAATTGTAAATAAAGTGCACTTTATTCATAACGGGTTTATTATTGTTCGATTACTGACACTCTGGGAGAAACCGAATGCTTTAAAAGAAGTGGAGAATAAGAAATGCTTTCAAACTTATTGATTAAAGAAAACTTACTTTGATATACAAATGTATTCCATAAATCATTCCTAATACGTTAACAGATATTTCCGAAACACAGGTATTTTATTTCGGATGTGCTACATTGTCAAAACTTCTCTAAATTTTCATCTTTATGCTTATAATTCTTGATCGTTATACTGTGTCTTGATAATCAAGTAAGATATTAAATAGATAAGTTTCATCATTTTCGATCATCTAACAAATTAAAAACCTGCTGCAGCTTTTAATGAATGTTGTCGAGCTTTTGCATCTAGAGGTTGCTTGTGGAGAGAGGCATTTAGAAAAAAAGAAGTGAATTGTCATGTCATTTGATTATATTTATTTTCTTTATAATATGAATGTTTTATTCAAAACAAATAACGATTGCAATGTTTATGATGATATATGTCGAACCTTTCTGTCATTACATCTTTAGCCATTCATTTACAGTTAACAGATGAAAAGTTCAGCAGATCACTTAAATTTCCTTTTCTTTTTCGATATACTATCATTTTTTCGATTTTAAATCCCTTTTGAATCAGGTATACTATCAATAGAAGATTTAAATTGTTGTATATGATCTTGTTAAACATAGTTGTTTTACACAGTTGTTTAAAGATGTTAGAAGAGAGAGTCGACATATATGAATCAATGTGTTAAAACTTTGATATCGTGATTGGGTGTCAATAATTAGCACCTAACTTTGCCTTGACTTTTTTTTTGGTATATGTTACTTACTGAATGGCCGATTGAATAATGTGGTTTGCTCGTTTATTTGTTGCTAAAATTAAAATTGCGTTTGCGAAATAAAAACAGTTTTGCACAATCGTAGCAAAGACCAAAGCCATATTAAACTCTATGGAGTGCTTCAAAATATTTGTCCGATATGACTGAAAGTATCTGAAAACTGCTCTACTACAAATCATTAATGAGAATGGGCATTTTGATGATGAAAGGAATTCTATAGGTAAGCTACTTCCTAATGTATTTTATTTCACATTCGTTCAACATTGTGTTTAGTTCGTAGATATGCTTGACTAACATTAATGCATTGTAGTTTATTTTCATTTTAAATCGTTTTAAAGATTTACTAGATTAGACAGTGGCTAACAAACATTGCTAATTCTTTTATATAACTTTTTTGTGTATGCAGTTAACAGTAATTAATACAGACATTCTTTGTCTTTAATATGTGAGCTTAATGCTTGCTTATTTACGTTTGTTTTGTTCATGTCCTAAATGCTTTTTAACAGATGGAACAAACAGGAGAAAAGAAAAAAAGAAGGTGGACAAAGAAACAACTTCGAGCTAGTCAGGGTATGCTAACACAGCAAGCTAAAACTAATATATATGCCTCTCAAGCTGGAACTACCGGATTCGGTGCCGTCCGTCACGGCGCTGACATTCGAGCAGACGATCAGGATAAAGCCGGAGAAGGTGTATTAACTCAACAATCAGCCACGCACATATATGCTTCCCAGAAGGGTATGACTGGATATGGTTCAGTTCGTCATGGAGCTGATATCCGGTCAGACGACTGCTGTCAAGAAGGTCATGGAGTGCTTACCCAGCAAGCCGAAACAAACATATATGCGTCTCAGAAAGGAATGCGCGGATATGGGGCAGTTAGGCACGGTGCTGATATAAGAATAAAAGAGCTTTACGAAGAAGGTGATGACGATGAATATCCAACAGATGAAGAAGAAGAGAAAAAAGTAATGCCTCCAAGAAGAAGTCCACGAGTAGAGCAGCAATCAGCCCCAGAACCGGAACCGGAAGCAGAGCAGGAAGTTAACGAAGAACCAGCAGCAGAAGACGAAGATAATTAAAATATATCTAGGTTTATTTAAATTTTCAATGCGGAAGTGACTATTATGTTTTTTCCAAATTTATTAACGTATGATAGTTAAAAAAATATCAGAAATCACCGTTTCGAATTTGCATTTAGACTATTATTTTTGTCAGTGTCTTATGTTCAGTTTTTAATGTACGTGCGTTGCATGTTTGTGACAGTCAATGGGCTAAGTGGTAAACTGAACAGTGGTGTATCGGCAAAGCTTGCTTCAATGTACCATCAACATAAACTGCGCTCATAACTAAAAATAAACATTGACTCATTTCGTGGAGGATTATCATTCAAAACAAAGTTCCATTGCGTTTGCAGGCCAATCCAACTGGTGCCTCTGGGCAAAAAAAGAGACCGAAGTTTACAAAAGAACAATTGCGTGCGGGGCAGGGTTTCGTTGGCCTTCAGGCTGGAACAAATAAAGGAGCTTCACAAGCTGGCATGACGTCTTTCGGGGCTGGAAGACATATTGCCGATATTAAAGTGAAGGAATTATGGGAAGAAGATGACGATGATCAGCAAGCGAACAAAACGGAAGACTCTACTGTCACAGCGACGGGCTTTCCTTCTAAACACAGCCAATGACTGTTCAGTTTCCACTTATATATTCGCATAAATGATATCAGTATAAAACAATTCAAAATATGAAGGATTGCTTTCAATATACTACGCACAGCTAAAAACTGCTTAAATATTTGAAAACAATAGGAGTAAAATAATAGAAATAATGTAATCCTTCCTGGAGTTTTTTTCTTCGCGATTATTTGTGCCGTGACAATTGACTCTTTAAGAAAATGCAGAAAATTATTGTTGTTTTTAAATTTGTATCTACTGAAGGCTTGAAATAAATGCCAATACGTTCCAAAAAGTGTAAATTATATATAACAAATTATATGTCTTTGTCCATTGTTTTCGTGCCGTTATAACATGAAACAATTTGTTTAACTCGAGCTTGTTTTAACAGCTTAAATTTGCAAATGCTTTCAAGAAGTTGAAGCTTATTGTGTTTTGTGATCGCTATGTATTTTTCTCAAGATGTTTGCATTTCCATAACAATAATCTGGTAAGTGTATTTATTGCTGCATTTCTTTTTGTTTCCCCACCTATGACAAACACTTTAACAAGTTCAAAACTAAAATTATCTAACTCTGTAATGACTCGCACTTTTCTTGCATACTAACTCAAATTGTCTCCCTTTCATTTTCATATAATCTCACTTAGCCTTCTATTTCATAGAAATACCTACTTTCAGAATCCGTAGTAGAATTTCTCTTGATAACAGTTTACATATATTTTCACATCCTTCAGTTTTTAGACTAGATATCTTCGACTTCTACCACTCTCTGTACTTTCCATATATTTTTGTTTTATCCTAAAAAAATACTCCATCGAACGACTTTTAGAGTAGAAATGTTTAGATTATCGTCAGCATTTTATTTTTATATAAAATTAAGCATTAATTAATCAAACACTTATTTTTTAAAAAAGATATCATTGATAGATTATAATTATTACATTTTCTCAGCTATAAAATGTGTTAAAAAGGAAGTGTCGTTAAGACACACATTAAAATAATATTAACATAAACCTTGAGACGATGAGATTTGCTGTTGGTTTGATACTAAAGGATAAACAAACTAATTTTTGTTGTGTGTAATCATGAAACTGTTCATACGTTAATGACGGGTGTTAAAGTTGATTAATAAGATAGTAATTCATAAATTATTTTAATGACAGGATCAACAGACCGGGGAGAAGAAGAAGAAAAGATGGACGAAGAGACAGCTTCGTGCCAGTCAAGGTCTTCTCACACAACAAGCTAAGACAAACATTTACGCCAACCAGAGTGGAATGACATGTTATGGCGCAGTAAGACACGGTGCTGATATCCGCGCTGACGACCAGAACAAGGAAGGCGAGTCTCTGTTGACCCAGCAAGCTGCCACAAACATCTATGCCTCACAGAAGGGTATGCGCGGCTACGGATCTGTCCGTCACGGCCCAGACATAAGAGCTGACGACGCCAACGCAGAGGGGCAGGGAATTCTTACCCAACAGGCCGCAACACATATCTATGCCTCTCAGAAGGGCATGACCGGATACGGATCCGTGCGTCATGGCCCAGACATTAGAGCCGATGACATCCGCGCTGAGAGCAATGGCCAACTTACACAGATTGCCGAAACTAATATCTATGCCTCTCAGAAGGGAATGACCGGGTACGGAGCCGTGCGCCACGGTGCAGATATCCGTGCCGACGATGAAAACCAAGAAGGCAAAGCTTTCCTTACTCAACAAGCCGAGACAAATATCTACGACTCGCAGAAGGGTATGACTTGCTTCGGCGCCGTTAGACACGGTAAAGATATTGCTATTAAGGAATTGTACGAAGACTCTGACGAAGAGTATTTGACCGACCCTGACGAGCCGGTTCCCCCGCCACGACAGGAAAAAGCTGCTGCTCCCCCACAACAAGAGCCTGAACCGGCCCAGGAAGAGGAAGAAGAAGAATAAATGAACAGCCAAGCTCATTACACAGCTTTCTCCCTTACTTTTGACACTTAACTTTTGTGAAGAATAATTTATTTTGATACGTTTATTGTTTTCAATATACCACGACCGAAGATTTGAACAGACACCGTATTTCACGTGAAACGAACTGAACTTTTAATAATCAGACTTACGGTGCGGACTGAACTCTGACTTTGAAAGCCTTAGTTGTGAACAATTGGTTCTTTATTTAAAAGTATTAATTAAGTTAGATTTGAAAGGACTTCAGTGGGGCTGGAGGTCCTAATGTTTTAAGGTTTATATATACAATATTATAGAATCATTCCACGTATTACAGTCTAAATAAACAACCATTTATTCACAACAACGCTTATTAAAATAGATTTCGTTTTGAATATCAATCTGCTTTCGACAACTAAACAGTAACAATTGCATTTCGGGTCGATTATTTTTTCCGATGTTTGTAAATGTATGAATTAATAAATTTGGGCTAAAGTCGGAAAAATGTGTCACATTATTATACATCAATTGTACGTTATTCATGTTGTCTGGTCTTGAAGCTATCCAAATGGATCAAAGTGTTGTAGTTTTGTTTTTTTAGAAATAAGGCCAGGTTATTCCACATTACCCTTACACCATATAAATGTTCATTGCCCTCTTTCGCTACAGATGTCTGACAAACCAAAAAAGAAGTTTTCCAAGAAGCAACTCCGTGCCGGAAATGGATTCATTCACCAGATGGCTGCCACCAATAAGTTTGCCAGTCAGAGCGGAATGTCGCCATTCGGAGCAGTAAGACATGGTCGTGATATTGCAGCAGACGACTCCGATTCAAGAGGTCAAGGAGTACTCACAAAGGTCGCCGCTACCCACATTTATGCCTCACAGAAGGGAATGTCCGCCTTTGGATCTGTGCGTCACGGTAAAGACATCGTTGCTGATGAATCAGACCAGAGAGGACAAGGAGTCCTAACAAAAGTTGCTGAAACCAACATTTTCGCTTCACAGAAGGGTATGACACCATTTGGCGCTGTTAGACATGGTAAAGATATCGTTGCTGACGAGTCCGATTTGAGGGGCCAGGGAGTACTAACAAAGGTTGCAGAAACAAATATATTTGCATCACAGAAAGGAATGACACCATTTGGATCAGTAAGACATGGCAAAGACATTAAAGCTGATGAAATGGACGCACGAAGTCAGGGTGTATTGACCAAAGTTGCCGAAACCAATATATTTGCTTCTCAGAAAGGACAGACCGCCTTTGGGTCAGTTAGACACGGTGGTGATATCAAGGTTAGAGAACTCTGGGACGAGGATGATGGAGATTACCCAACTGACGAGGAAGACGAAGTTAAAGTGTCAGAAAGTCAGAAACGCCGTGAAGCTAGAGCAGCTGAAAATGCCAAAGAGAATGTCCCTGAACCAAAGGCACCGGAGCCAGAACCAGAGCCCGAACCAGAACCAGAACCGGAACCAGTAGCCGAACCAGAACCCGAACCACAAGCTGATGATGATGAAGGCGGTTTTGCGTGGTAGAAAGTGACTTTAAATACGTTTAAGAAAGAACTTTCAAAGTCTTTATAATCAAAGAGCATTGAATGATACTAAAACTAATGAAAATGTCAATTTAAGATGATTGAAAAAATATTGTGTTTGAAGAAATCGAAATCTCGATTTGCTAAAGATACTTCAGGCTTTGGCTGTTAAGATAACGCCTGTTTCATAAGTTAAGAGGAAATAAATTTTTCTGACGTCTTGACCGCATTTTATGTTGAAAAGCATTCAAAAATAAACCTTTTCCTGTTAAATATTACTTTCTTTAAATTTCATGAATTTTGTTATTCATTAAATTCCATTTTCTTATTATACATATTATCCTCAATTTTATTTATTACGTCTGAACGCATTTTTTAAGTAAAACGTACAGTTGCAAAGGGGCTGTGCAACTGTACGTTTTATTGCATATAAGATTTACATTTTCGATCTAAAGATTAAGGCTGTTAATACAATACGATCTAGACAATAAGAATTGTTATGTTTAAATGAGTTTAAATTGTTCAGTTCATGAATGATTGATTAATAAATATTTTATGAAGTTAATTCTACAATACTGGTTATACTTTAAATGTGAAACATAAAATCTGATTGGTTTGAAAGTGAATGTTACATCGCCTCTGATTGGTTCAAGAGTGAGCAACACCATAACTGATTGGTTGAAGATATTTTATCATCGGACATCACGAAACTCTTCTTTAATATTGGACTGTCGCGGAGGACAACCACAAGGACCTATACCAGTATACCAGGATCTCTTCACCAAAAACCTAATCCTGCATTTGGAAAACTTCTATCACCGTGTGATCTTCTTTGTCCTCTCCATCCTATTGTTATAAGTAATGCTTGCTTTAATTATCTTTTCACTTTTCAGTGCCTACCTAATATATAATACCTAACACCTTTGACTTAAATTATAAGCCTTCTTTTCCAGGATTTTCACCAATATCACACCGATCACATATTCATTTGAAATTTATCCTAACACCATGTATATCACCATGTATAACGGCATTTTTCTTTCCTTCATACCCATTTATTATCAATTCACTTTGATCCACACTGCACCTAACCTCCGGAACAAATGCCATCTGAGGCATCGTCAGGAGCAAACAAAATGGGAAATTGGTATTCAACTTTTATCATACTGCCTTATAACGGTAAGTTATTAGTTTCATTATATATTTTTGATAATCTTTAAATTCTGAATAGCTGCCATACACATTTCTTTTCTTTATATTACTTTATTTCTTTTCCTGTCATTCAATTTTATGATAAATTCTATTAGATGATCTGCATTTTGTTTGGGATATTTTTTGTTGTGACTTCTATAATCAGTTTCCTTAGAAGACATAGAGATTTCATAGCTGTGTGTGTTTTGTTTTTTCTCTTGTGTATGATTTAGCCTTTGTTTCTACTTCTTACTCTTTGTACCTCGTAGAATTTCTTCTTTTTCCTCATCTTATGTTCCAATTGAAACAATACTCCTCTCAAATCGCACACTTTCTATCGCTTTACTTGTCTAAATGTATAATATTTATCTTTACAAACTTGTAATTTCCTTTAATCTTTTTGTATGTTTTTATGTCTTTGTCTTGATATAATTACTTTTTTTTCAAAAATTGATGACATTGAATTGCGCGTTTCATTAATTCTAAGTAGATGTAGAATTTTCCAATGAAATAAAATAATATTTATATAAATACTACATATGTTGATGAGGATAAGCTCATACATGCAGTTTTTCAGGAGATGGAGACTGAAAAGAAACCAAAGAGAAAATTCTCGAGGAAACAGCTGAGGGCAAGTCAGGGAATGTTGACAATGCAGGCCAAGACAAACATTTACTCCAGCCAGACCGGCATGACGTGTTTCGGAGCAGTCCGACATGGTTCAGATATTCGTGCAGACAACGCTTGTCCAGAAGGTCAGGGCGAATTAACCCAAACCGCTAAGACGAATGTGTTTGCAAGCCAAAAGGGCATGACCTGCTTTGGATCCGTTCGTCATGGTCCCGACATCCGATCAGATGATGCAAGCTCCGAGGGGCTTTCAACACTAACTTTACAAACGGGCACCAATCAGTTTGCCTCGCAGTCGGGCATGACATGCTTTGGCTCTGTCCGTCATGGCCCTGATATACCCGTTACTGAACTATATGATGAAGGCAACGATGATGAATATCCGACGGATGAAGACGAACCTGTAACAATCAAACCTGCTAGAAAACTACGAGAAGAAATCCATGAGGTGAATGAACCACAACAACGAAATGGTGAAATTGAACGATCGCCCGAACCGGAAGTAAAACGCGAGAAAACACCAGAAGTTGTTGCAGAAGATGTGATATCTGATGAGACAGAAGAACCAAAAGAAACTACAGAAGAGACGAAAGAAGAAGAAGAAACCGAACAACAAGACGATATGGAAGCTGACGAACCAATACCTGATAAAGAATAACATTTATATAATTTATTAGGAACTAGAAGATATATATTAGTATATTAAGTGTTTATAAAACTTATTTAACTAAAGTGCATAGACATAATGATGACATTGATATAGAAAGTAATGCAGCGGAAATATTTGTTTGACATTTTAAAATTTACGGTTTAAACGGAAACACATACTTGACTGGACATTATTTCGCAATTACTGGATCATTAAACTAAGAAAGTATATGCAAATGACAAATTTTAACACTTAATTTTACAGTTTTGCATTTAATTTTTTCGGAAGTAAAATTGTTTTAAAGCTAAACAAGTGTTTTTCCAATTTATCTTTATTATATACAAAATTTATTACTGTTCTAAGCAAGGTATTCAAGCTGTTGCTCTATCAATATTATAATCAAGACAAAAAGGAATCGATGACAAATCAGAAACGCGTACGTACTTTGCTTCCAGACGATTTTCTAACTGCGTTTTTACACTTAAACTCAGTGAGACAATGTTCTGAAAAAAAATATATTTGACAAGTGATAAGAGGTTAATTTATTTAAGATTTCGTCTGGTAACAAGGCGTGCACGTGATTTCACATGATTGAATCTCTAAAAGTAAACACCCCTGTTACCCTCTCGCCATAAAAATGTATAACATCGACCAAACATTTTACTTATCGGCGCATTTCATCTAATATCGACATTGATATATTTCAAATAACAAAAATTAACCCGATTTTATTCATGCCAATCTTTGTCGATAATAGACGGAAAGTGCGGATATAAGTATCATGTCTACACAAAATCAAATAACATTTGCCTGGGAGAAATGCAGACGACAAAGTTCTTAGCGGAAACACATTTTCACACTGCATGCGAGTTAGGTTGAATTCAGTGTACCATGCTTCGTGTTGTTCCGCACATGTCTATATTTACCAGCAAGATTCACTCAATAACTTAACTTACTAAATACATCCAGCACTTGCAAGCTATACATGTATGTGTTGCTCTCAAAAAATGTAAAGAAAATTACATTTTAATTTTCGACACTGAAAACTGCATTTTTACAAGTTACAGACAGGCTCCGAAATGTATATTCATACTTGTAAATCTAATTTCTATGTCGAAAATTAAATGAATAAATTTCTTTACAAAATAAGTTTGATATCAATATATTACCAGAAGAAAGTTTTCGATAATCCTGAGAAAAAGTTTAATATTAAACACAGGAGATGGAAGGCGAAAAGAAGAAGAAAAAGTTCACCAAAAAGCAGCTTCGTTCCAGTCAAGGAATGCTCACACAGCAGGCGCAAACGAACATTTATGCCAATCAAACCGGCATGACGACATTCGGTGCTGTCCGGCATGGTGCCGATATCAGAGTCCGTGAATTGTATGACTGTCCCAGTGACGAGTGTCTCACCGACGAGGAAGAGGAAGTGAAGCCGACGAGATCTAGACGTCGGGAAGAGAAACCAGTAGAACAAGCGGAAGATGGTGGCGGGGATGAACAACAATAGCGATGCATTAGATGTCATAGCAAAACATAAAATCATAAAAAAACTATTCTAAATATAGAACTAAGTGACCTGACTCATATACAATTTCAGACTTTATTATTTAGCAATCATAAACGATTATTTTTACTCGAATTTATTTCTGCTGCAACTCCTCTAAATGTGAAACTAGGAATTATCCGCACAATTCTCACAAAGAACTAACTTTGAATTGATTCAAACTTGTGTAAACTATAATGACACTGACAGTGACATATAAGGAAACATTTATTTTCTACCTTTTTCTACCAAATATTTTGAACTCGCCCGACATTCAGAAATTTTCTAGTAACGAGTGCTCTTCTCTATTTTTATCAATAAAGTTGTTAATTCTATACAAGCAAATAAAAAAGTTTGTCTCCCTTTTAAACGAAAATGCGAAATAAACATCAACATAAACAAGTTATAAGATAAAAAAATAATAATCTTAAACAATACATCTTTAAAAAAAACGAAACACAAAAAAAATGAAGAAATTACGGAGTCAAAAATGGTAAGTTGTATATTTTATACGTAATTCTGAATATGTTCAGGTTAATTTTGTTTGTGCAATGCTCTTTTTAACAGCTTTATTGACATGTAAATAACAATTTCTTGTACAGTGCTCTCTGTGTTTGCTAAAATAATGTCCGACGGCATGAAAAGTTAATTCCCCGCGCATCCTCTTTGACCGAAAAGGAAGGAAATCGAATGATTTAAAATAAAAGCGTAATTGCACGAATTTCACGAGATGTTTTGTTTAATTCACAGGAGATGTCGGAGTCAAAGCCAAAGAAACGCTGGACCAAGAGGCAGCTTCGTGCTAGCCAGGGACTTCTTACCCAACAAGCAAAAACAAACATCTACGACTCCCAGAAGGGCATGACCGGATTCGGTGCTGTTCGCCACGGACCAGATATTCGCTCGGACGACACCGTCAAAGAAGCACAGGGTCTTCTTACCCAGCAGACGCTTACCAATATCTACGACTCCCAAAAGGGTCAGTATCTTAACTTCACTCCTTACATAATCTTTATACAGAAGACAATCACGTGTCCAGATGATATAAGTAAAGTAAGTATTAACAGTTATGTGTAGTTATTTAATAAAAGTAAAATATAAAAAAATTGGCTATATGAATACATAATCATGACAGAATCCAAACCGATTGTTTTTTCCTCTAAATTAATGTTAGATACTTTCTTGCACGTGTCATGCCCTGACATATCTTACATTAACTTTACCTATACTGTAAAACAATAGATTTTAGATTTTTTTAATTTTATACATTATGTCACCTATCGTTAGTTTAAATGATTTAAAAAGATAAAGCTATTTATTCTATTTTTACTACACATCCCTGACTTGGCTAGCTTAGTGTTATAACTAATTTACCTTTTCCTTTTTTTCTAACTCCCTCTATCTGAATTAATCTTCACCGTGCTTTAACTTGCTTTGATTCATATTTTTTTTTATAAAAAAGGGCATGTAACATAGATATTTGAGCCGCGCCATGACAAAACCAACATATTGGGTTTGCGACCAGCATGGGTCCAGACCAGCCTGCGCATCCGCGCAGTCTGATCAGGATCCATGCTGTTCGCTTACCAACCCTATTACAAGTAGCAAAACTGATAACGAACAGCATGGATCCTGATCAGACTGGTCTTGATCCATGCTGGTTGCAAACGCATTACGTTGGGTTTGTTGTGACGCGGCTCATTTAGTATTTATCATGATGACGATCTAGAATCTTCTTGAAATTAGTGTTTCAAGCTGCAATGTTAGTTGTTAAATGAAATGGTAAAAAGACTATAGTGATATCTGGTAATCATGGCATCAGACAGGTTTGAATTTAATGAGCATTCTTCATACGTAGATTATAGCAATTAATAAAAAGAAGTGTATATGTAGACTGTCATTAGTAAATAAACCCGCACAGCTGACAAATAGAAGGGACTGAAATTTAACCATATCAGAAAGGTTTGTGTTTGTCAAGGAACATAACAAAACATAATATTACATAGAGGAGCTCGTAAACAAAAGAAAAGGTAACTTTCGCAAATAAGCGGAAACACGAAGAGAATGTGGCTGTTTGAGCAAAATTTACGATAAACATATATGATAGAATGTTTGGCAAATAAGTCCATATTTATATATAGTATGTCTCTTTAAGTAACTACATCAGGATCAGTAAGTCGTTTTTACCTGCTATATGTAGCTTGCTTTAAAATCGTCAGTTTCATTTGTGTGTTGTTTCCCCAAAAAGTAGTATGTTTATTCATTTTCTAAAACAAGAAAATTGTATTCGAATTTCATTTAATCATAAAATTTCGGTTTATCCTAACTTTATGTCCTTTATCATTTTCATATGAAATTGAAACGACATAAAGGAATTTCACAACCGTTTTAAGTCCTCTTTGGTCTTGATTTTATATAAATCTAGTTAATTAAATGACAAATTAAAAAATAAATGTTAAAAATTCATAAAATTAAATATATGTTGTTAAGTACGCATGCATGTCTGCTCAATTGTTTGGCGATGTTGGCTTCTGACCTTGGCCTTACACAGGTATGACCTTTATTTGACCTTTATGTATAGACATTAACCTTTCTTAGGTATGACCGCCTATGGAGCAGTCCGTCACGGACCTGACATCCGTGCAGACGACACCGTTAAAGAGGCGCAAAGTTTGTTAACACAGCAGACGTTAACGAACATCTACGATTCACAAAAAGGTAGGGATCACTTCCGGTTTAAGGAATTCAATTTTAACATGCCAAAAAGAACAAAGTTATTTGAATTGTTGTACATGTACATGTATTTGCTTTTATATAAATGAAACATTTCTTTTTAAAAATGCATCTAACACGATTTTTGTAGATTCTTACGTGTTTTATTGTAAGTTAACAAAACATGAAGTAATCGGCTGAGTATGAATTTAGTGTTAATTATCGGAATAATTTAAACTGTCACATTTATAATTCTAAATGTTTTACACATATCTTCAGGTATGAGATGCTACGGTGCTGTCCGTCATGGCCCCGACATCAGAGTGAGGGAATTATACGAGGAAGTTGATGACGACGATGTCCAAGAAGAGGCTGCAGCAGACGCAGAATAAAACCGCGAAAAATACAACTTCCGGTTGACATTGCTGAAATCGCTTTATGTGGGCACTGCCTGATGAATTTTCTATGCGCTCAATTTGTTGTATTTATGCTACCTCCGACACTGTGTTTTTATGTAATTTTCTAATATATGTATTATATATACAATCTTCGGCATTACATATTAATCCAAAATAACCCTTTCTGATACTTTTTTACATGTATAATAAATCTAATAATCAACTCGATGTCTCGATGTGTAGAATATTGTTTTCGTATACAAATATGTGCTGCATGCTCATTCTATATGTAAAAGATGTACAGTCTCGATGGAGGAATAAAATGATAGAATTAGTTCAAATATGGCTTTGTTTTCCTGTAAAATTGTATATAGTTTGCCACACTTACACTGTTACAGTCATATATTGACTATGTAGCTTTACTCATGTTTACTGATGCAAGAAGACTTCAGATGCACTTGACTTCATTATATGACGGGTAGTTCCCGGTGTAGAACCAACGATAATACGTCACACATTTGTATAGTTTCGTCATATGACTGAATCTAAAAAGTTACTGACGTAACTGGAACATACCAAGGTGTGGTGTCAGCGACTTTAGTCATTGAACCGTGTGTCTGAATAATAACCACTTGGCGTCAAGATGGTGACCATAA